TCTCTCCCTCTCTCTCTCTCTCTCTCACTCACTCACTCACACACACACACACACACACACTCACTCACTCACTCACTCACATTCAGTCACTCTCTCTCTCTATCAGTAGTGTTTGTGCCGCAGATGTAAGTCTCAAAAGAGGCAAACATTTTTCGTTAACACACTTTCGCTCATCATTTCCGGCGACTTATATATACTGAAAAAACAATGGATTTGCGGTCTTTAGACTCATACACGACATTAGACTTCTTAATGATAATAGAGGGGAACAGTAGTTTATAGCCGGGGTCAATCAATAAGTACATACAAAAAATAATTATAATCCTCACCCAATCCTAGTTAATCCCAAAATACGTAAGAATATAACTGTATGGATATGTATTAGCATAACCCCTCCCAATGAATGTCTACATACTTAGTGATTAGTCCCTTATAAGCCGAGTGGACATACCTTTTCGCAAGGATGCGGATTCTGCCACTCAAACGGACTAAACCGGGCCACTATGAACAGGGTGGAGCTGACCAGGATGTAAGCGACCACCACATACAGCCATATGTCCACCGCTAGGGGGTTCATGAACGAGAACAGGCGGGTAGGCATTTGGGTGGGTATCTTGAACAGGATGCCTATCCCCAGATTCATAAACGGCTTCGTGAAGTCGATAACCTCCTCGCGAGCGTATGATATGGTCATCGGCGCCACCGCTAAGTCCGCTTTCTAACGACATATCACATGAAAGTTAAAATTAATTAAATATCTTATATTTCCAGTACGCCTGTCCCCTTACATTTAGGATGAGCTCCCGTACCAATCCGTTCCACTGGCCCGGGTTACTGGCGTTTTCGGCCCCGAACCTTTTATCCGGCACCAGATATAGCTCGTAGTTAAAGCCCAACTCCTTGGAGATAGCGTTGAGTAAGTCTATGCAAAAGCCTTCGTATATAATGACGTCCGAGCCGTTGGTTTTGCGGAGTTTGATATAAGGCGGCGACTATACGACACATTTGGGTATAAAAAAGAAAATAAATATAAGTATTTGTGTGAAAACATTTTGTTATGTGTTTTTCATCGTAAAGAGTCAATTAATCGTAGAAATTCTCGCGAAACAAATTTCATGCGAGAGTAACACATATTTAGTGCCGAGAAAAGCATTTTTAAAATGTATTTAAACTGCATATAAGAGTCGGGAGGGAAATGTATGTCAAAAGAGTCGTAAAGAGCTGAACATGTTTTCGATTTCGTGTGTATTTTTTGTTTGTGTGTCTGTGCTCTCTCTCTCTCTCTCTCTCTCTCTCTCTCTCTCTCTCATTCAATTCATAGTATTTATGGCCTTAAAAAGTAACAAAACATTTAGCAAAACGGAGAATACTTTTCGAGAAAAAGAGTCGTTAAATGAAATGAAAAATATCGAGAAATATAGCGCTACTCGCAATGTGTGTGAGTGAGTGAGTGAGTGAGTGTGTGTGAGAGAGAGAGAGAGAGAGAGAGAGACTCAAAAAATATTAAGAGAGAGAAAAAGTCAATCGCTTTTATGATTCATGAGAAAAATGTAAGTTTCAGACGTTGAGTGCATTTGCACTGTATTTTCGGACAGTTATATACACACAGAAGTCTCGGTGCATTCAATGGCTATACCACTCATAACCGGGTGATTGAAAGCCATTGATCACTGAATTGCTTGCGAGAGAAATGCCAATGGATTAGGCGTTTGGCTCAGTTATGCCCATATAATTGACACTCACGCCAATCGGTGCGGATATTTATGACATTTTTCTCACTGGTCATATAATTAAGATATAGGTATCTCAGGAATTTTAATTGATTTTTCCTATCCTAACACCTTATCTATAATATAATATATAATAATATAGAAAAATATTTTTGTGAATACTTTCTACGCTATGATTTTCTAGCGTTTATTATCACATAAATGAAAATATTTTGAATATATTTTCAAATATGAAATCATACTATGAATTTATTTTAATAAATATCACTTTTAATTAATGAGAAATTCCGTATATATTTACGGATTATGTGTCAGAGAAGTGTAAACTATTCATATAATGAATGAATAATATTTGTATTAATTAACTATAAGTGGATTTTTTGGTTTACGAGTACTTTATATCATTTTACTGTATATTAATACAGTATTATATACAGTACATATTATGGAAAGTACTACAGTATATCATATAATTTGCAGCAAAAAAATACCTCATAAATTATATTAGCGTAAAAACTAAAAAACACATTAATTGACTCAATAACCTAACATTCTAAATTAAATTAATTGATCAAGATCACCCTCACCTCAATGGTAGTGACTTTGAGCGTAATATTATTGTAACCAAACTCTCGAAACGCGTGAAGTTTTGTTATATTAAGTCCGGAATCGATAGTGAATTCTCCGACCTTTTAGTCCACACGAGAATCGATGACAAAAAGCCAAACAAAATGCACACAAAAAAGAGATAAAACATAAAACAAAAGTTTTTATCTTGAAATACAATGGACTGGGTATCGGAGACTGGCAGCCCTATAGGACTGGTATGGCATACATACTTTGTCGAGCTCCTGGTGTCTAAGCTTTAATAAATCCATTTTAACGCCCGAACGAACGCCTTCTTTGAACGATACCTTTCCGGTTAAGCCGTGAAAGTCGACCTAAAATTTTTTGATCAATTATTATATGATAGGAAAGCCGTTTATTTTTTTTTT